ATCCGGATGTAATTGAAAGTGTCTCTTTTAAAGGTCCTAGTGCAACAATAAAAACACATCACGTAAGTAAAATAAAGCTTTGCTTTTTTTGATTGAATTTTTGATAATTTAATAAATCCTTTATCATAGAATGTGGGCGGTTTATTGGAAAATATGAAATTAAAACTTATTGAACCACTTCGGGAACTATTTAAAGGTTAAATTTATATATGCTGAAGAATATGTGATCTGCACGTATATAAGGTCTTGTTCTTTTATCTCACGTTTCTCTTTATTTTAAACAATATTTTTTTAGATGAAGTACGTGAGCTCGCTAAAATCTTGGGCCTAGACGAAGAACTCATCTGGCGACATCCATTCCCTGGACCTGGCATAGCTATTAGGATTCTTGGTGAAGTCACCCACGAACAGGTGGCAATCGCACGAGCAGCAGATCACATTTATATTGAAGAAATCAAAAAAGCAGGCCTTTATCGAAAAATAGCACAAGCTTATGCTGCATTATTGCCAGTCAAAGCTGTCGGGGTGATGGGAGATAGGCGCACATATGAACAGGTTATTGCGCTACGTGCTGTTGAGACGACTGATTTTATGACTGCTGATTGGTAGGTTTTTTTTATTTGAATTGTGTAGTGATTTTTCCTATCTCTCGAATGATTTTTTTTTAAATTTTTGAAATAGGTATCCGTTTCCTTATGACATCTTGAAACGAATTAGTAATAGGATTATCAACGAGATTAAAGGTTAATAATCAATATTTATTTTTTTAAGTACAGTCAGACCTCCCTAAGTGCACGTTCTATAAATGCACGGATTATATAAATTCTCTCTAAATGCACGGTATAGCTTGGTCCCAGCTTATAAGAGCTCTGTGTATTTTGCTCTCTATAAATGCACACCCTCTCTAAATGCACTTTTTATATTTTTTCACTATGGTCCCGAGGGGGGTACACTTAGGGAGGTCTGACTGTATTTAATTCATATTTCTTATTGTATTTCATCTTTATCAACAGGTGTTAATCGCGTTGTTTACGATATCTCAAGTAAACCTCCAGCTACAATAGAATGGTAAGAAATGAAATTATAATACCAATATTTTTTGTGATTGATAATTTTTTATTTATTATTTATTTTTTTCTAGGGAGTAAAAAGCTTGGAGCTCTCATGAATATAATCTATGATTTACAAAATTTTGTGGATCACATATTTGAAACGGAAATGAGTTAATAGTTTTATGGTCTCATGATATTTATATACCAAAAGATGAATTAAAAATCATCGAGCAGGCACAGAGATGTAAATCGCGGGCCTCGTTCCTGTAAATGAGAAATTACCTTTAGATTGCTTCAATGAATTTATTGCTCGTCGTTTGAAACTTTTTAAAATATTAGAACATTAATTCATTGAACGTATTATTTCATTGTGTAACACACATCTTTGAGGATTTCAAATTTCTTTATTTGGTGCAGAACAAGATTTTCTAATTATTCAATTCCATTAATGGTTAAAGAATTGAGGTCAAAATTCTTTGTAGGGAGAACATTCTAGAAACACGCGGGCGCTCTATTTCTATATATAGAATTGAGTTATACAAAGATGTCTAAATAAACATTTACTGAAACTTGTATAACCAAAGATTGATCAAATTTATTTATCATTATCTTGTGAAATTTACACGTGCAAGTAGAAATTTTGTTAGCACGTATATATACATATCGATATGTACAAGGAAATGATTTTCCTAACAAAGTACCGTAGCCTTGTTAGTTTTGTGGGTTTCTGTTCTAATTAGCCAAGTGTAGTGTACAGTGTATGATTCCGAGAGCATTTATTCAAAGAGTTGATGGAAATACGCCGTCGCAAATTTAATGATGATTAAAGATAACGAGATAACGATAATGAATGATGAATGACAAATTTGATCGAGCAATTCTTAATATTTATCGTTGGCTCGGTTTTGACTTAAAAAATCAGTCGAATCAGTTTATCATTCAACTATGGCACTCGCGTACACTCACACAGAGTATGACAAGCAAAATGTAAAATACACACAAGGATAAAAAAAATGCGACATTTAGATTATATTAATCTATGTAAATGTAGTTATTTATTAGTATGATTGCTCTTTTGTTGTTGTTGTGGTCGCTGTTGTAAGGCAGAAGCAAAATGGATTAATGAATAGAGTAAATGTAACACAAAGTAAGGGAATTTTATATGTTATTGAAACATTCTTGACATGTGTATCGAAACTTGCGACAAAGATTTTTGGTTCTTTGTATCTATAATAGATTTAGCTTATATATACTGTATATATAACGATGAGTGGGGTTAGAATTCCGAATTGGATCGTGTCAATAAATCTTTGTGTAATTCAGTTAAATTAGAAAAATGAATCACTTTCGAATCGTATGTTCGTAAGTAAGAATAGATTGACGCCCATGCGACCAATGAGTGGCGGGCAGTTTGCTGACAATCTCTCTCTAGGTCATCATATTCGCCAACCGCCATATTGCATAATGCATGTATACATGTGTATATATATTAGTATGTTTAATAAGCTTTTATTATGCATGCTAAAGCGAAGGACATTTGGTAATATTTTTCTTCGAACCGTTTACTAAATACTAAATACTAAATAGCATTCGGGATAATTCTAACAATCAAATATTCTTTCTCCATAAATGACATCGAATTTTAACACAACAATAACTGGATGTAAGTACGTAGACAGGAACTGACTGACTAATGCAAGCAAACGCAAGCATGTTTATGTATGTGTTTGAATTTAATATGAATGCAGTGCAGAAAAATAACGTACACACATCTCGAAAGATTACATATCTTTACTGCGGGTAAGGAAATTTTCCACATGGACACGAAGATAAAATATAAAGTAAAAATAATTAAACTTCGTCTTATTATCATATATGTGCGTAATAACACTTGCGAGCTTATTTGAATATACAGTGCATTCATACATCATACATTGATTCATTGTTCCAAGGATAGATTGGATAGACACTACACTAACTGTTTCTTATTCTTTTGTTCTTCCCCGCCCTCGCATAATTCGGAATACTAAAGCAGGATCAGGATATTAGCAATAAAATTGTTTATTTAAAGGATCTGTCATTCACTCATTCGTAGTCGTCGTTTTTTAACAATGAGTGTGACGATGAATAGTACAATATACGTATAATAAATTATATTATATAATACTTGATTGGCGTATTCATCTGTTATAACAATCAAAATCCTTTCATTTTATATTTCACCACTTTTGCTTTCTATTATATTCTTCGTATTATTATTATTATTATTATTATTATTATTATTATTATTATTTATGCTGGTTCTTCTTCAGAGAATATAACTGAAATAGTAAAAAATGCGCAATACTATATTTGCATTAACTAAACATAGAAGAGTAATTATAGGAGGACAGGAAAATTCAATTATCTCGTGAAAATTTATCCTTTTGGCATGAAATTCACGCTGCTTTTGTTGCTCATCAACCACATCGTCAGCTGAATTACTGCTATTAATTCGAGCGCGATCACACAACATTTCAATCGGATCCAATCGGTCAATTCGATCTATTGTTGATACTTCCATTATCTTATCGTAATTCGTTAATCCATTATTTGAATTACCAAATTCATTTATGGGAATCTTTGTGGAAGAAAAGAACAATGAGCAAAAAAAAGACGCGCGTACACAAGGCGATGACGCATTATTTACTATATTGGCTATCTACTGCCACAATCCGGCTCAATATTGAAATTCAGGCGAGAGTGGGGTTCGAGATTTCTTTTTTTCTTTGGACAAATAGACAGGGTCGTATTTGCTTGTGGCAAAAAAAAAAAGATAATCAAATGCTCTCAGCTCGGTTTTTTGACAGCTTCGCACACGGCACAAACACATTTTATATTTTTTCAGGTGTTGCTTCTTATTTGCACGTTCAAAATTCTTTTTTTTTATTTCAACCCCACCAAAAATTTGAATCAATGAACTATTATTACAATTACTACACACAGACTCTGCCTGATTTACTTTCTAAGAACTTACTATCTCTCCACACACACTCATACACACATATTGCTCTGCCATATGCGCTCACCCTTTCACCGCACAAGTGTCGTACATAATCTTTCCTCCTTATCGGTTCCTTTGGCGGTGGTGAGTACCCTGGATTTTTTAAGATCCGTGTTGATACTAGATTGATTTTATTCGTTATATTGTTTCTTCTTGAACGTCAGTTTTTCGCTAATTCCCATACATAAATGATACATTATTTTAATATATATTATATTAATGATGTCACCCCAATCTTGTCAAGAGGAATGTCCCGCCTTTTAGACAAAAATGAATGATACAAGTTTTTCTGGTTGAATTTACTCTCGAGTCAACTGCTTATTTTTATACACCCTTTTTTGTGTTAAGGAGAGTAACCCTTTTTTCATTTTGTTTTTCCTTACTCAAAAGGACGGTTTTCTTGCCTCCTCATTGATAACAACCGCATACTTTCGGCGTATATAATTTTTTTGTGAAAAACTTGCTTCGTTTCTTTTAATCGTACTTAACTTTTCCCCTTTTACTTATTGCTCTTGACTGTCACCTGTGAGAAGTTTTCACATATATATATATATATAATATAATATAAATATAAAATATAAAATATATAAATATACTATATTATAATTAAAAAATTCTATAAATATCTCTTTATACTTGCCCGCTATTTTACATCTAATTTTCTCAAAGTTTAACGGCGTGAATTAACCTTTAACGTTTGTAAATATTAAACAATATACTTGTACAAATAAACAAAAAGTTTTTGCCACACAAGGGTTTTTCGCTGCGCGATAAAAAAATTATACCGACGGCAATACACTTTGTAAACGAACATCCGTCCAAGAAATTTACATTTTCTAAAGATTCGTCGTCGCCTCGAGTGAATAAAATACTATCACTTAGAAAAGACAGAAACGACAAAAATAATGGCGTCGGCAGTTGACCACCACGTCATCATCCCAAATAGCACCTCAGCATTCAATCCACAAGAAAACCAAATGATGTCGGCTGACCTAAAGAAGCCTGAAATGCTAGTAGAAAACAATGCCACTGAAAAAAATGCCCCAACGGCACCAAAAGAACCAATTTCTTCTACTACTTTAATGGAAAAATTAAAACAACAGGATCCTTTTCTGGAAACACCACCTTCCCCAGGAACTTTACAAAATCCACCTCCACCATATTCACAATGGGATGAATTAAGTTTAGAACAAATATTACAGAAAAGTTGTGATGTTATAAACGGTCATTCGGAATATTTAGCGCAAGGTGGTGGTAACCAAAAAGAAAACACCGACATGCTTGACAAGGTAAGCTACCACTCGTACCTAGTACGTTTTCTCCTTTCTTATTTTCTCTCCTTTGTTTATTGTTTGCTCGTTTTTTTTGTTTTTGTCGTATAAATAATAATAGACAAACAGACGGTAGCAACTGTATTTTTTGCGTTTGTTTGTTTGTCTATCTTTATCTTAGAAAAACGACGTGATGATCTTTCGTTTTCGCATAAATAAAAACATAAAATATTCAATATAAATTCTTTAATCACTAGATGACTCAGTTGGAATCATTGGTAGCGTCGTTACAATCGATCCTTAGCGATCAAACATTTGCAATGCACGATATAAGGTCACAATTATCTGAGTATGTACATTTTTTTTTCGTATTGGTTTATATTTTATTCATTGCACACCAATTAATTTTTTCGCAATGTAATATAGTATTCAGGGAGTCCTTAAGAAAATGCAAGATAAACAAGAAACGATGACGAGCGAGGAAGTGATGAAACAAGTAGTTACAATGAAGGTAAAAAGAGAAATCATCTTACTTAGTCAAAATATATATTTATCAATTGAAAAATAACAATTTAAATTTTTCTATGTAAAAGGTTCTTACGGAAAATATCATTGCGTCAAGTGAAGTAAAAAAACAACTCGATGCCAATAATGCATCAGCAACCGCAGCAGCTATTGCAGCCGAAATTATGAAAGTTGAGCAAGAAATACAGCAACAACAGCAACAAAAACAGCAGCAAATTCATCCGAGATCATCCGAAGAAGTTATTCCAACTTTTGAATTAAATTCGCAAACTTCTTCATTAGCAGTTGTGTTACAACCACCCTCGAGACCAACATCCCGAGCTGCATCAAGACAAGCATCACGTGCACCATCTAGATCAGTGTCACGTACTGTCTCTCCTAATCGCTCACCTGTAATTTCACGTACATCCTCGAAGCTTTCTTCAACACCTGGCTCTCCAGCAATCCGTCCTTACAAAGTTTCAACAATGAACACAATAACTGAGGGTAGCGACTTTAACGAAGATAGTGATGGCGAAAACAGTGTGGCTTTTGAAAGAATGTGTAGTATACTTTCAACATTGATTACTGAAGCGACCACCGCAGTCGAAGCGCCAGTCAACGGACGGAAGAAGAAAGTGAGACAGGACTCGAATGCGAGTCAAGCCTCGAGAGATTATTTCGAAGATTTTGACTGGGACGCATTAGCGGATGATGATGAAGATGCCTGCGATCAAGTTGAAATGGTTGAGCCTCAGCCCAACTTATTAAGGGAACCGAGAAAAAAGGATAGAACATCTAATCACAAACGATCAAGAAGTCGAAAAGAACAGGAGTTTGAGGAGAGCTTCAAAACATTAGATTCAAGCCTAACACAAGTACAATGTCTAATTACCGATATGACAGATGAGCTGATGGAAGAAGAAGAAGCGGTTATAGTTAAAGATAAAAATGGAATGCTTATTCGCGAGATCAAAGATAAAAATGGAAATATCATTCGTGAAGAGCCACTCATGGATGTACAATACCCTGATCCAACAATGGATCTCTTAAACAATCCAAGCGCTGACTTGGCAGATTTAGATGACTTTGCACAACAATGTCGACTTATAACACGTGCACTCATTCTTCCATTTTTACACGCCACTCATTCATTTATGTCCGAATCTCTTCATTCCACGAATCAATCAAATGCGCCGAAATCAGTTACTGGCACGACAAGAACTTTTATGAATCTTATGTACTGGACATTTTTGTTCACTTTGGGATCATTGGTACTTGATGCTTGGCTCTGTGAAGTGGCAGGAAGACAAGTCATTAGAATGGTTGATATGCTGAAACCTGGACCACCTTTTAAATTCGTCCAAAATCAACCTGCTTACGAGATCCAAGATGAATATCATCAAGAAGGCAATGCGGGGATGGTTAATGACAGTAAAAAAAAAAACGTCAAAATTCGTACGGGCTTTAGATTGAAGACGGTCTCTTGGAGAGGAGTGGAAGCAGGTGTTGGGAGTGGGCAAAGGTGGTTGAGAAATGGTGCACAAGGTGTTTTGAGTTTGGGTAAAAAAAGTAGAGGGTTTCTAACGGGAGAAAGGTGGGGATTAAATAAAATATATCATAGATCAATGTTGTCACATGAGTGGGGAGATGATGATGTAAGCGAGGATAGTGATGAATGGGAAATTGTAGATTTTAGTACTGACGAGGAGGAGGATGAAAGTATGACGGAGGAAAGTAGTGAGGATGATCCGGCATTATTATTGCGACGTCGTATCACTAATGAGCGAATGAAGCGTGCTGGACACGTAAAAACTATTTTTAATCATATTGGAGATACAAACAAAGAAGAAAAAGAAAACATCACTAATATTCAAGAAAATGAATCATCAATATCCAACATTAATAACGTTAATAATAATAATAATAATAATAATACACCTTTTCTCGATACACAAGATGAAGAAATGAACGAACTTCCTTACCATCAGCAAGATCCTATATCAATGGAAGCACCAGTGGAAATTGTATCAAAAGAAACAATTGCACTATTAGAACAAGATCTAGAAAATCATTCACAAGAGAATTCGACATCAAGCGCGATGATGGAAGAAGATGATAAAGAAAATAATTACAACCATAATGAAGATGATGAACTGTGTGAAGAAAAAACAGTACAAGAATATTTTAACGATGAAGATGTAGATCTGCAAATACCCGGTTCTTTTCCAGCTGAACTTACGATAAATTCAACAACAATGGAAACCGATGAATCAGACAAAGAAAATGTGCGACGAGTGCGGAGTGTCGTCCTTCGACGACCTAAGCGTAATGGTCCATTTGGTGGTAGTGGCGGGTTTTGGGTAATGCAAACTCGCAAAGTTCGAACAAAGTCATCGAAAAAGAAGAGCGATAATAGACCTAGGCCACATTCATTTTATTCGCTATCCTCAAATAATAAAGAAAATGAATTCGCCGATCTACTAAAAAGTTCAAATACAAAATCAAACCCAATATTTAAAAAGAAGAAAAAGTCGTCATCGCATAAAAATTGGGTACGGCGAAACAGCATATAGTCCTCAAGTTTATTTTATATTATGGACCCTTGAATTTTTCGATTTCTTTTTACTGTTATTTAAAAGATTAATGAACATTGCCACCACTTTTTTTGCAACTCTAATGTACATTTAAAAAATTTCTGTTGGACAATAGAAAACATTTTTTTTCATTTGGTTTCCATTCTCCTTTCTTTAATTTTTTTCTTTTATATAGATGTTTTATCGTTCGGTCGCTTTTTACTTGACCTTAGACACCTTAGAAAAGTATTAACTACCGGTTTCTTTAATTGCCACGGATTATGTGTTGAGTTGTTGTCCTTTATCATCATTTTTTCAATTCTTCGTATCATTTCAATCTTTATTTTACAAATCTCTTCGATCCTTCAATCCTTCAATCCGTCTATTGATTCGTTCGTCTTTTCAAAATTCTTTGTATCTATTTTTTCTATTTTTTCTTGTAATTAGTTTTTTTCTTTTTCTTCTTTTTTGGATTTTAAAGTTTTTTCTTTTTTTTTCTTTATACATAAATTATATTGATCGGTCTACGCTTCTTTTTCTTTTCTTCGACCTTGCCACGCGTAGTACTTGTCTCCCGATCTATCTATATTTATCATATTTTTACATTTCATTAAAATAAAACCTTTTTCTCTTGCTATTATAATAATGAACATGATTCGTATTAGTTTGTATAAATTTTTTTTTGAAAATTTCACCAGTTATTTGAGATAGGCAACAAATATAAGAACAATACTATTATGTGTTGTGTGTTTATTTTTGTTGGCCTAATTATGTTTTATGGATTCTTAGATTTCATGCTTACTGCTATGTTACTGATTATTATAATCTTATTTTATTTTTTTATGTGCAATAGCAGTAAGAAATAATATTTTTTTTTATTTTTCTTGTTGTCTATGGTTTTTTTATTTTTCTTGTTGTCTATGGTTTTTTTTTATTTTTCGTGGTTTTATGAATTTAAGGAAAAGGTTTTATCTTTTTAGGTTTTTCCAAATTTTGTTATATTTTTATGAAAGGCATATTGCCAATTCGATCATACTGTATAGACGGATTATTTGTATTATCTGATATTTACACAGAATACAACTCGCATAATTAAAGAAATATTACAAAAAAAAATAAAGATTTTGTGCGCGTCTCGTCTTTTTTGATTGTTTTAATTTGATTGTGATAACATAATGTGGAGAAGTTGATTGATAAATATTTGGCCTAGTTTCATTTATTAACTAATAATTTCATCCACAACTAACACGGAAGAAATATACACGAAATCAATATTGAAATAATTACGATAAAATAAAGATGTATCACATCATCATAGATCAATACTGTTCACCTAAGTTTTGTACTAATGGCTAGCGTTCTGGATACAAAGAAGTATGTAGTGATATTAAACAGATGATGGAAGAATAAATGTTTATTGTAAAATTTATTTTTTCGGCACTACTTAATATCAAAGCCCAATAAATAATAGAATGGAATAAAATAAATTAAATCAAATCTTGAGCTAATAGACTCATAAATATATACATATACATCTATTTATTACACCTACCTAACTATTGTTTGTGTTTGTTGTACCCTGGTGAACAGTGAATTCCTGGTAACGCGCGTGTATAATAATAAAAAATAAAAATTCAAATTGAGTTATTATTTTTACTTTAAGATTTATAATTATTAGGAGACAACAGACAGTTCACTATTATTAGGGGGCTGTTCACCACGTTCATCACCGCCACCACCACCTTCATTATCAACAGGTAAATGATCAACAATCTTATCGTCGTCCTTAGTTTCAAATACTTCCAAAAGTTTATCGATGGCTCGAGATAACTCCCCATCACTAGCCTGTAGTACAGCTTCGCAGACTTCAACATCAGCACCCTGGAATATTTGTTTGAGCGCATTGAGCGAAGATTCATACTGTGCTGCACTAACACGGGTTGATTCTTCTTGCATTTCTGAGAATTCATTTGAATTGTCTGATGTACGAGAAGAATGTGAAGACACAGAGAGAGAACGTTGTCTTGGAGATTGTGATTGTAATGATAACGAGTTTTCAAATCTCCCAATCCCGTTTAGCGGTGAAGATCTAGGCGGCAAGGGAGGGGGCTCGTTGATTAAGGGTGGTTGATGGGGTGAAGTACTGGGCGATGAGGATTGCGAGGACGAACGAACCTCCAAACTAGAACCGATTGTTCGGACTCCGTTTTCAATTTCTGTTGTCATCTCTGCGATGATCTTTCCGAACATGTTTAAGGGCGTTTGTATTGTACGCTGTGCAAAGTTTTTACCATTCTCGTATAATGCTCGAGCTTGTGCTGGATAAATTATTGGTGATCGGGCAGGATACGCAGATCTTGAAGGATGTATAACATTATCGTAACTAATGACAGAATCATTCACTTCCGGTTTTGGACGTTCACGTTCCAATTCTTTCATCGTTATCTCAATATTTCTAAATGTCGAGCATTTAAAATGAGGAAATCACGTATATAAGAATTCTAAATCATTTATCATCATTACTCACTTGTCAAAGTCTTCTTGGGTTATCGAAAGTGAAGACACATCCATGTTTTCAATAAATGCGATAGCACCCATCTATGTACAAAAAAGAATCAAATTAAAAAACTTTGTTAAAAAATCTAATCAATCTGAAAGGAATCTCACCAAGCTTGAGAGGTAATATCCAGCCTCCGACTGCAACTTCTCAGGATTCCTGAATCGTGATATATATCTGACGAACAACGACGACAAATCAAGGAATGTTTTTAAGATTGAAAAAGCCACGCAGGGCATACATAACATATCTAATACAATTAATTAGCATACACGCAATAATCAACTTACTGAACGTTCGAGACCAGATGTTCAGGGTTCGCTCGTAATACCACATATATTAGGATTGGTAAAAACTTATCGGCACCCTCTTCTCCATCAACTTTCCTTATCAGACCTAATTGAATGAAAGTGAGATTAATCAGTAAAAAAATGAAAATATTTAATTATGATTGATATTTATAAAATAAAAACTTACGAAATATAACTTTACAGCAGTTAAGGATACAAATAAGCTTGTCCCGTGGTGCTTTGTACGCATTTAATTTTAATAATTCTAATTATTTCGCAAAGTAATAAATTTTTTTAATTTGGACCATAAATATTATTCTAAATGCAGAAAATGATAATAAAGATAATTACCATCTTGAGCAAGTCCAAGAAATGATTCGTTATGTTGCGTCAGAGGAATATCTAAATGGTCCTCTCTCACCCAACGAAATATCTGGATTCTTTGATGTAATATCTCGTCTCGTTCTCTATCATCGGTTGTGACAGGTCCTTTAATCGCAGGAGTAAAAGTTCTACGACAGCAAATAATTTATTATTAAATCACAAAATTTATGGTTATTGCAATCTAAAAATAAAATAGCAAACCTTACAGTGAGTATAAACGGTTCATCACTAATTTTTCTATCCCTTCTTTGGCATTTTCAAATTCTTGTTCAGAGGCATCTTGCCATATTTCACATTCTCGCATTTCTGTTGGGACAAACTAAAAAGAGCATTTGAATTTTTCACGTTTACTATTATATCAAATAAATTATTCGACAACATACGTCCAAGAAATCATGAACTATTTTTATTTGTTCATTAATTGTATATGGTTTTCGCTCGAATTCTTTCTGAAAACTATATAATGAGCACAGGAAAAACTTCAGCATACTACATTAAAGTATAAGGAAAAGAAGAAAAAGAATCACTTTTTTAAAATACGATTGATTTTTTCCGCACGTCGATGCTTCATTTGTTCCAAGAACCGATTGAAATCAAAGGGCAAATCTTGCTGCGGAGAGGATTTAGCATCCAAATTTTGTTGCTTCACTACGTTTTCTACGGTGTCGAATGGCGCTTCATTAGGAACTGGTGACTTTTCGTTAAAGTCTTTCTCTTCGGACATTTGTTTTTCGTTAATTTGTTGTTGCTCTTCCCTTTTTTCCTCAGCCTGTGGTCCCTTTTCTGGGTCTGATAAACTCATTGGTAAGAAGGTGTCAAGCAGGTGTGTATTTTAACTAACAATAAATCTAATAGTGAAAAGAAGGTGTGAAAGTGTGAAAATTATCTACATTTGATTTATGCGTAATATGGTAATGACCATGCGATGCTTATGCATGAATAAAGATATGACAATCGAAACAAATGATAATTCTCGGAAACAGGAGTACAACATGTTTGTATTTACTCACGTTTCTATGCTATATTTGTGAATTTACGTGGAATCTAAATATATGCACATATTTTTGTTGATTCATTACGTTAATATTTATGCATTTTCCTTCTATAGCCCAAAATCGGAGGCTATTGACAAAAAGTTAACCATTTATCCATAGATCCAATAATGAAATGGAGCATAAAGGTTCAAGAAGTTGCAGTCAAAACTTGGGATAATTAGTAAAAAATTCTGTAAATATCAGTATGTCGAGAATTTATTATAAAAATCGTTATATCGAGGAAATTCTATTAGAAGTGTTTTTTGAGTTGTTGAGATTTTAATTATTCATCGTTGACGAGTATCGATATATCGAGTTTTGACTGTATATAACGGCGCAGAGACAAGAATTTGATACTGATAAATAAGTATTACTTGTATTAAATGGATTTTGTATTCTTTCAGTCAGATTGCATCAAGGAAACAGTAACATTTTCTACATCATTTTATAATGACGAAGGAAAAGCTATGCGAGGAATACAGTCAACCCTCTCTAAAGTCACATTCATCGATTCCAAACAAATTTGGTGATTGGGGGTTTTACTATATTACATATTAACGGTGCAGGTTTTTTTCCATTAAAATCCATCAGTAGTAACTGTCCACGCACAGGTGTCTAGCCCATAGCGAAAAAAAACTTGGGATAATGAATTTTATTATTTACATAGAAATTCATTTATTTTTGTATCTCAGACAGAATACAATCGTTAAATAAATTTTTTTTGATTAATCTCTAATCTAGTTTGATACACCACATATCCACAAGCAAGCACCAACGATGTCAAAAATAAATACATTATCCACATCCATGTCGATGTAGTAGTCTCGACAGCTTGTGTGTTAGTGGCGTCCTTTATCACTTTTTGTGTTTGATAGTGTTGTCCGGTCATTCGAGACTTTTTTCAATGATAGAAAAGGTTTTCAGATTTAGAGTTTAGAAAATCGCATTAATTAACATTCGAAAAATAAACTTACATCCAAAGCATCAAGTTTATGTATAATACGTTGTAATTCATCTTTAAAATTTGGATTTGAACTGGGATTTGAACTGGGATTTGAACTGGGATTTGGACTGGGATTTGGACTGCCATGTGCGACGCCTCCTATATGAATTATACGTGCTTCTAGGCTACCTATTCCACTAATTATTCTATCGAGTTTTTGACTTTTAGGAAATAATTAGGATGATTACCATTCAGATTAAATTTCAAAATAAAAAAAAGGCGAAGGATCAAAAAACTTACATGACGGCAGTCAATTGGTGACCTTCTCCTTGAGATGGAAATCCTCCGGTGTGAGGGAAATTATTAGTATTTTTCTTATCAGATGCTGCATTGACGTCTATACGATCAATTCGATCTTGTATCACTTCAAGAGTTTCAAGTATCTGAACTTGCATTCCCTTTACGAAATCTAAGCTTCTCTAAATTATTTAAACAAGTCAAATTATCAAAAAATCAGTCGAGGATATATAAAATCGGTATATACTCAAGTATTCTAGATATATACTCACCGTATCTTCTTTATCTTTCGATTCTTCAGTAATAGGATTTACAACTTTGGCAACTTCTTCGATTCGCTATAATTGACGGTGCATGAATTTCCGGGGGATTTTTTTTAAATAAAAAGACATCGAAAACAGACTTACCTGTTGTACATCCTCTGGAATCACGTAATCTTCTGCTGGCTGCGATTTAGACTTTTCTTTTTCGTGTGGACGTAATGGTACCTAAGAAATAGATAATTATATCAGCTTCTACTGTTCAAAAGCAATATTAAGAATTTAAATACTTACATTTTCTTTTGGTGGTGGGTTTAATTCGTATAATTCAAAAGACAACACGTCGTGATCGTCTAAATGAAACATAACCTTCGATTAATTCAGGGACTGCAAGTATTCTTCGATTAATAGTAATAAGCAACTTTAATGATTACCTGGTGTTTCACCTTCAGCGGCTGCCTAAATAAAAAACTATTGTGAATATAAGTTTGAATGTAATGCGAGGATACACGAAACAAACATACGGTAAGTCCAAAATAATATCCTGTCGGGACTTTAACGTCATCGGCTTCAAAGCAAGGAAGATAATGTTGTCCGTGATTATTTGCATCAACAGCCAACTAGATTAGAATATAATTGATCTTGTGAATTCCAAATGATCCACATAACTAATCGAATCAGTTCATCAACCAACAAACTAACCTTGATTGTGTTATTATAATAAGTTACTTTCACGTAAATCGGGGATGGTGCGTTACGGAATTGTCGATAGCAGCCGGCAAATGAATTTTTCTCGGGGTCCGTTAAATTATTGTATGCCGTTTTGCCATCATTCAGTTGACCCATAATAAGTGGATGTACGCGCTAATAAATTTAAAACCCGGCACCACGATTAACAAATATTCAAACACGTAGCAATAATAGTAGTCCCCTTTAGACTGAAAAATAAATCTCACATTTCGCGAAGCATCAGACGTTTCAAAAAAAATTCCCACGCCATCCCATTGATCTTTGCTACCAAGTACCGGACCGGATTCCCCACGATCTTTTGTGTACCAAAACCCAATCCCTCGACCACCAATATAATAATTGCCATATATTTTAAAGGAAAATTCCACTTCCCAATCTTTGAAAGTGTTTGGTAATTGTGACCATATTGCTCCTGAATGGTGAGGTACACTCGGTGCTAGTCTGATAAAATCCTGGGCTAATAATGTGTCTAGTTTAAGATATATGAATCGAATTCTTGAGCGTTATTTTGTTTAAATTTTTAATTTCGTAAATTTCATATCGATTTAATGAATGGTATTTAATTTTTCACAAAGTTATTACAACATTCACAATTCAGTAAGTAAATAAAACGGAAAACTCTAAAGTCGTGGCTCTTTTTGTCGTTAACACTATTTTCGAGGTAACACACTAAAAAAAACAAAACTCACTCCCATATGTGTCAAAGAACGGTACAGTTTCATTATAGTAGTATGGTTTTTTAAAGGTATGCTTATAGTCGTGTCGTCTCGGCAAAGTTGAGTTATTTTCTGTTGCATTTTGTGAAGACTGCGCTTCTACGCGCGTAAATTCTACTATTAATAACAAGAAAAGAATTGCCAAAAACGGCTTCGCCATTATGAACGTTGACATGAATGTAATAATACCACTCTAATGCTATAGTTAATTGATGATAATATAAAGCAAAAAAAAAAAATAGCCCTCTTTCTCACACTACATAGCAAAACAGGGCAAACTTTACAAAATTTTTTGTGGCTAGAGTCATCCTTCAATTGTTAAATTAAATGGGGTACGCTGCAACAAAGTGAACATGACACGTGTACCAATCACCTTACGAGTTACGAGTGAAGACCCTCTCAGTTCAAAATTTTCTCTGTACCCAAGAGGTATTTTGATTTAATGCGACCTCAGCATGCTCTGAGATTTAGACCAATGCAATAATCCTAATCTATCAAAGCACAATTATGAACATAGTCTGCACATTTTTGGAATATTAAAAGTAATTTATTATTCGTATCCTTATACTGAAATCAGTCAATACACTAATTCTTTGGAATCAAGAAATTGAACTTTTGAAATGACTAGTAAAGTAATGTTTGGTAATAATATAATAAACTTCTAAATAAATTTATCAACCAATTAATCGATTTGATTCACTTGACTAAAGGGATGACGCGCTAACAAAATGTTACGAATAGTGTTAATCAAACTCGACTTCCATGTTGTTCTAATCTTTTGCGTATATATATAACTCATCCAGTTTAATGATCGGTTTTCGGTCCCTTTGCTGGTGCTAATCGTCATTGCTTCTTTTTCGTATACGGCAGTTTTATCCACAACTTCTCGAGATTGTGCGGATGCTGGTGCTGGCGTTAATTTCGAATTAATCATTAATTATCTTGTTTTAACTTTTCAGAAACACTATTTCTAATTATCAATGATTCGAGAATTTATTGGTGCCCGATTAACTGGCATATATCTCTTGTAGTTTTTCTTGGATTCTTGAAGTTACGTTACAAGCTTCAATCAGAGCTGCTTTCATTATTAGTTCTATGTAACAACTGCTGACCTCCTTTTTTTTTTGTTTGTTTGATATTAGCTCACCATTTTTGTAATTCGCTGGATTAGGTTTAAAATGCAGAAAAAGATCGTAGTCTAGAGAGAAAAAAATATTATAGTAGAGTAAAAAATTCTAGTTCGCAAATAAACTACTCGTGAATCACCTTTTTGACCACCAGATAGGGGCAAGACGCTCCCAAGGTAAAAAAAAAAAAAACGGTAAAGTAACTTGCTTTTAATCTCGTTTATTTTTTTTGGTTATATGCGTATTAAATCACTTGATTACAGTCCCCACCAATTAAATCGAAACTGGCACTGACTATATCATGATCAAGATTACAGAAAAAACGAGAGGGAGCGAGAGATTATTTATACGTACATACTAAACATAGAGCGAGAGAAGTGATAGAGGGAAACTTCAATTAGATAAAAAAACCATATATAAACTTAATAAAAAATAAATAATTATTATTAAAAAAAAGAACATAGAGTCTTAAAATTAAAAAAGGAGAAAGATACCAAAAAAAAATGTTTAAGAGAAAGCCAAGTTTATCAGCTCCACCGCCACCACTCTCATTCTCCGACATCCTTAGTGACCTTTCAAGCTTACAAAGTTACCATGACAATAAAAATGGCGAGAAATTCGTGGATATTTTGGAAATTGTGAGTGAGAATAAACAGAATAATATTAACAGTAATGGTGATAATGATGCTGGTAGTACTGCTAATTCGAGAGGTAATACAAATATAAATATAATTTATAAATTATATTTTGAATCTTAACCAATTAACAAAATTTTATTTAAAAAAAAGATGACTCTGGTGACTCCTCTTCGTACACGACTTCTAACTCTAACAACCCAAGTATCGTCTCTACAACTCAAAATTCCACATCATCATCCTCCTCCTCTTCTTCGATTGTCGAACACCAACTTCTTGACACGACTTTTGACCAGTGCAGCGAGTTTATTAGTACCAATAACCAATTAATCGGGTCACAAGGGAAACTTTACGCGTTAGGAACAGAAATTGATTCGTTACGAAATGAATTGGATGAAATTGTCACGACTATCGAACGTGAAAATGTTGACGAATCGAGTGTTGAAGGTAATGCTCGTGAAGTCGATGCTGGTGAGATTTCCAATAAACCAATTGGGGAGTAAAGAGGAAGAAAAGAAAAATGAATACGAAATCCGCAGATTTTGTGACGAATTTATTTATTTATTTGTTAAATTTATTTATTATTTATTATTTATTTATCGTTATTGAATTTGAGTTCTTTTTCTTCCTTTTTCATCTATTATATACCTTTGCACCTCAATCCTTATATGTATACAAAAGAAGGCTTGATTTTTATGGAAATAGGCTAAAAATCAAATTATTGTCGTGAAAAAGAATATTATTGTGCGTTGGTGTGTTCTGATATTCGCGCACTTTAGAATAAAACAGTCACCATCATTATTTTCAATAATAAGATATTTTCAACCTTTGGTGATAGTAAAAAGGCTGACTGGGCTTACTTCGGGAATCTTAATTTAATTCTCCTGTTAAAAAGTCAACCTAATATTTATTATTATCGCGATGATTCAAAGCCTGAATTGCCAGCCTCAATTACAAATAATAATGAAATATAAGACCTTGTGACTGTTCTTGTTTTCTATTAATTAATGATAGCGAATCCAATCAAAATCTATTCAATATGAACCAAAAGATCTACTCTTGAAAAATTTCGAAACAATGTCACGCTTTTCAAACGCGTTCCCTATAAAGAAAGCTTTTGCATTTATAACTTTTATAGAACGCAGATTAGCACGCCATTATTTTCATGCATTTGTAAACCCGCTCTTTGATCGTCGTCGGAAATTAACGCAGAAGCAATATACTCCAATAACTCATGAAAAAGACAAAATAACACCCCCTCTAAGTGCTTTTGGTGCCAGACTACAACTTTCCTTCCTTAATCCCCAACTACTCTTACAGAGTGTTACTGATGAGTCATACTCAAATACCGACTATGAGTCTAATAAAACTTTGTCAATTCTGGGTAAATAAACCGTTTTTCATGTAGAATGAATGCCGAATAAAAGTTCTCATTAACGTTTTGCTTTTTAATAAATAGGAGCGCATGTATGTCGTCTATTTGTTACCGAATATTTTCATATAAAATACCCTCTTATGCCTTTACCTGCCTTGGAGGAGGTGGTAAAACTTTACACTGGTCAACAAACATTATTGAGTTTCGGAAAGGAAGTTGGATTATCTTTAGTGATAAGGTGGGAAAAGGTTTGACATCGTCAATGTTTTTATTTCTTTTGTTCAATCAAAAAAATACTCGAAAATTACACGAATATCATGCATACATTTATCACAATAACAAGACTTTTAGATTACAGATTTGAAGAAAGCTCAGCAATCAAAGCAGGCAAGAGATACCTTACCACCGAGTACTACACCAAGTGTTGCATTGGTACGGTCGATTCATGCAATTATTGGTGCACTTTATCAAGATAAGGTTAACTTTGAGTTTTTGATTACAATTACAAACGTATATAATACGTATGCATGTAACTTATCGTTTGATTCCAGGGTCCATTAGCTGCGAGAAACTTTGTTCATTCGTATTTGCTATCAAGAGAGGTGAAAATAGATTTGGTCTATGAAAAAACTTGTGCTAAACTTCCAAAAAGAGAATTATCTTTGTTAATGCAACGGCAAGGTAAAATTCTACCGATTTCAAGGTAAATCGTATTCATTAAATAAGGTAAACTCTTTCGCGAAAGTTAATGTATTAACAAATTAAATTTTAAGAATGTTGAAGGAAACGGGTCGTAATACGAATAGTCCAATATTTATTGTCGGTGTATTTTCGGGCGCAGAGAAAATCGGTGAAGGATACGGTAGTAATATAAAGATGGCTGAATTTAGAGTAATTTCTTTTATTTATCTTGATTTATCGTATTTTTTTTTACTTTTTCAATACCAACCAAACATTATTGATTTTTTTTTAGGCTGCAAGAGATGCTTTGAAGAGCCATTACTTGACCGAAATAAAAGATTTTACTCTACCATCCGGCGTTATTGATGATGTAGAATATGAACCAACCGAAATCGGTGACACACCCGTCATTGTCTGAATTGGCGCAATATTTAAATTGTTTAATGTGGGGAATTCCTATTAAATTAGGCATTCTCACGCAATTTTTTAAGTCGCCCGGTGATGAAATCGAAACCGCACTTATTGAATCTCAATAAGGCGTGAACCGTCTTGCGGCTTTTAATTGTGCAATTTTCTGTTTGTCTTGTTCGAATTTTTTACGTAATTCAATAAGTTCTTGTAAAAAAATAATTGTTAGCAATTAATATTTTTAAATTAATTAAGCAAAGGATTCGAGTTAGGGTTAGGGTTTATTAGGTTGGCAACTTACTATTTCGTTTAGTCTCTCGCAACTGAAATCGATAAAAATCAGTCAATTCTCGTTTTTTTGGCTGAAGATTTTTAATTTCCTCAGCTTTGGCTGCAGTTACTGCAATGTCACCATCTGTATTAACGTTACGTCTGGCAGCCCTTGTCACTAGAATAAATCCGTCCTCGTCAGGTTTATTTAAGTTAGCTTCTAGCTTTCGTTGTCGTTCCTTTTCGGCTTCTTCGTATTCTAACATAAATTTATCAACCCCTGCTTGAAGTATGTCGGGAGATTTTCGGAGTAATTGATATTCTTGTATCCATTCTAGAGTAATGCGTGGTATGTATATAGTAAGTGATAGGGATTTTTGTGATAGGTATTCCAATTAAATACAAAGGCAAACTCGATAAACCGAAGTGATCGAAACTATTAGTAGGAAATTGAAAATTCGGTTTATCGCGGAGGATTTACTATAACCAACTTCAAGATTTTAATTAGTGTTTCGTCTTATCCATCCTCAATTTATCGAGCGTGCCTTATAAATATATACTAACTCTCTAATCCTAAAGGAGGAATCTTTTCATCGCCAGCACTCCATATTCTTTTCCCCTGTTTCATATTTAAAGCATTGATAAGACCTTCCTTCTCTTCGAAAATAATAAGGGCCGAAGAACCATGGACCAGCAATTGCCTGATCAATACGTCTTCATCATTGTTAATTTTTTGCTCAAGCTTTATTACTATTTGCTGCTGCTGCTTCTTTTTCTTTTTTCTTTTCTTTTTCGATTTTTTTTCATCATCTTGTATTGTTTCGTCCTCTAAATTACTATCTTTTGGGTACTCGTCATGCAATTTCAGCACCCCTTGAAAAATGACACTTTCCACATTCCCACATTCTTTAAATAAATGCTTTATATGCTGTTTAGTCGCGTCTACTGGTAAGTTCGAAATGAATAAAATCCTATCAATCGGAGTATTTGGATTCGGTTTACGTGTTTCATGCTGCTTTATGTAACAGTAATGAGTTGGTTCAGCGGGACCATTAATGACTCCTGTCGTGAAAGGTGTTATTATTGGAAGTATTTTAAAGCCAGTACGTGGAATCTCTGGTAATGGCTCCGAAGAAACAGGCTCGGATTCTTTGATTTTCTCCTGTTGCTGTTGCTGTTCTATATTTAGTTTTTTAATTCTCTTTTTTGTCTTTGGAGTACCTTTTGAGATTTCTTCAATATGTTTAGTTGTTTCTACTGAAGTTGGAGAACCTTGTTGGCCTTCGTTTTTATGTATTTTCTTAGATTTCATATTTTTGTTGGTCATCCGTTATTTGATATCGATATTTTTATTTCCAAAAATAAGATTATCGAACACGTGATATTATTTCAATCTTAATAAATTACAGAATTAATGTGGTAATCATATAATTAATAATAAATAAATAATAATAATAATAATAATAATAATAATAATAATAAATAATAAATAATAAATAATAAATAATAATAATAATAATAATAATAATAATAATAATAATAATAATAATAATAATAATAATTAATAAAAAGAATTAGAGATAAATAATGTTTGGTTGTTGCAAATGTTCCAAGTTTTACTAAAAAAATTGTGAATTGAGTTCGCTCATAATTGATAGTGGAACGATGGTTTCATCATCATAACAATATATCATTCAGTTTGAACCTCCTCTTTTCACTATGGCAAGTGCACTCATTTCGTTAGGTTCGTTTACTAAGGTATTTGCACTCATTTCTTTAGATTCATCCACTGAGGCAATGGCTTTGAACAAGTGATGTTTTTCCTCTAATAAGGCCATGGTCTTACGTGCCAACGCTACAATTTCGCCTTCATCTGAATCATCCTCGTCACCGGAAAGTGGTTCATCACCATCAGGTTGAATCGAGTAAACATTAAGACGTGATATTACGTTGACGATCGTTTTTGACGAGGAAATTCGGGCTAATAATTGTGGGTCTAAATAAATAATTATATTATTGAATCGCATGTTATTAGAGTTGTATTGTAAAAATGTGTATTGTCATAAATTGTCGTCGTACCGTCACCCTCCAGGAATTGAACAATCGTCCAAACTGCTATATGTTGAAATGTTTTGTCTGTACTTTCAAGGAAACGTTGTAAATATCCATGAAGCCCTCCAGCTGGTTGATCCCAAACCATTACAAATGGAGTATAATCTTGAACTAGAGAAACAAAAATATTGTTAGTCTATCGTATGTCACAATTCTCTAAACAAGTTTTTCTCTCTTACTTTTTGATGACAAATTCCCTAATGCAGCAGCACTATTTCCTTGTACTTCTACACTTTGGGAATTCGTTAATGGGAGCAAAACCTGACATATCCCAAGTTTTAGCAGACGAGGTTTTAACTCATCTAGAAAAAACGAATATCATTTAAATTTTTCGAAGTTTAAATATGAAATAAAACATTTATGTAGACATACCACTCAACGCCAATACTGCTACACAAGCTGTCATTTCGCTTTGCACACTCAAAGGGACATTTAGAACTAATTCCCGAACCCTCTCGACTGCCCCAGCATCCACAATTGCTCGTTTATTCCTTTCAGAGCTAGCAGCCAAATTTCTTAAGGTGCTTATTGCATGACATTGAATTTCTTCGTTCTCTTCATATGCTAAAAGATTTATCAAAGGTTGCAAGAATCCAGCATCAATTATTGGTGATTCATTAAGTGGATGAATGGAAATGTTTCGTATACAAGCAACAGATGAAAGTATTAAAGGAAGAAATGTTGAATTTAAAAGACGTAAAAGTGGCGGTAATCCACGAGAACGGACAATTTCAAGTTGGTATTTCTCTACGAGCAAAAAAAAACATTACCATGAGTATATGTTAGACAACAGTCAATAATATAATTATTATTATATTCTGATAATAATACCATCTGAGGCCAAATTTCGCAGCGCTAGGGCTGCTTGGCACTGCACTTTCAATGAAGTGGAATCCATTAACCCGATTAAAGATTGTACTAGTCGTGTCTCGGTTTGAGCGAGTTTTTTTCGATTGACAGCTACATTGCATAATCAAAATGATAGCAATATTAATAAATAAAATTTAATAACATTATCAGTTTATAGACTTACCATCAACAGCAATATTGCTTAGCGCTGTTGTACAATAATACTGCACATCTGTGTCGGATGAGTTCAAAAGGTTGACCAGCACTGGTATTGCACCAGCATTAACTAGCTGTTGTCTATTTTCATCTGTTATATTGAGATAGGACAATCAATCAAAATAGAATCCTAAATAAATTAAGTGCAAATAACATCGTATATACCAGAGTGTGTCATATTTAGCAATGCACCCGTCGCATTTCTTTGAACGCGCATATCTTTGGAACGGGCGAGACGCGTTAAAGGAACTAATGCACCTGATTTTGCTATTTTTGACTTGTTTTCATCTACAAAAAAAAATAATTAGAAAGAATTTGACCTGAAAGTCATTTAACTTGTATTATCTTACCAGCTGTTGCCAAATTGGTTATACAGCCAACAGCATTACATTGAACTTCAACATTAGGTGACAACATTTGACGTATCAACGGCTCTAGCCCACCCATTTGGACAATCAGCAATTTATTATAGGCTAAAATACGAAAAAAAAATAAATTAAACGTTGAGCAAATTTCTAACCAGAAAAGATAAAGTAATGAATAGTTACTATCTACAGCCAAATTTCCAAGTGCGGCCGAGGCAGCTCTTTGCACTTCCACATCATGTGACTGAAGTAGATACATGATGGGTTCCATCGTTTCTCGGTCAACTTCTCGCACATCTAAAAATGCAAATATTCTAGATTCATAACAACACACAACCAACAATTACTCTTAATAACATAACAAACTCAAAAGAAAACCTTTTTCCGTTATCTCTGCAAAAGCTAAAGCCGCTGAGCGTTGTAAATCTACATTAGATGAAAATGCCAGTGTTGATAGTGCACGCAATGGATCTCCCTCAAAGAAATTTGTTTCGGTTCGGTCTTTTCATGAACATCGTTAGGATTCGGAAAATATTCAGAGAATTTTTCATTACTTTTGTTTGAAATCAAATCATTAATATACCATATTGATATCTCACTTTCAAGGTATGTTAATAAATCGGCGACCGCATCCCGTTCATTTTCTTGTAGTAATGGTTCATAAAGCCCGTTTCTTTGCCCTTCTATGGGACAATATAAAGTGTAAGATTTGTGAAAATGCGCTCAAAACGCTATTGAGAAGAGACAAAACACATACTCCTACCAAAGCAACAAGAAAAGCAAACACCCATTTTGAGAGTTATATAAGTAAGCTTAATTAAGAATTCTGAGAAAATGAGAATTATATAGTTCATGGATAATATCAGAAAATTTTGTGGTTTATTCGTTATAGTAATTGTTGAATTTGACAGGGTTTAATGAAACAAATTAAGACCTACTAAAGGATAAAGGTAAAGTATTCAAGCGAGACGCGTGAAGAATTGTATGCTCAAAGATGCTAGAAAACGGCGCGCGTAAAAGAGAGAACAGTCTTTAGGGTTTTTTAGACTCTACCCAACCGTTTTTTTAGTCGGAAGGAATAAGGAACTCGAGTTTTGGATGGGCACAAAGTGTCACACCCATTGAACAATAGTGAAATGGATCATCCACCAATACTGATATTTCTCGATCACGAATTTCGAAGCAGCATATTTTTCTCTCGCTTTACGATATATTGTTATTAAAATGGGCAAAAATAAAGATAAATATAAAGGAGGCTCGAATTCTGTTTTTGCTTCATACATGGCTAATTTACCGTCTGAAGGTACAAATAGCGGATCTGGTAGGAAAAACAATCATAACTTAAATTTCCTTATAGTCTGGTTGATAAAACTTATGATATTATGTTTTTGACAAAAGGAAATAGAGAAACTCCGTTACCAGATAATATGGTAACGTACGCCTTTACTCGTCGCCATGACACGGCTGTATTGATTGATGTGTTTTGCTAAGTTGAAGTGCATTTATTTATTATAATTAGAAAGCTTCCACTCTATTGGAACAAATTGGAACAGAACGTTCATGGCTCGAAGATCAAATAAATTTGGACCTAGCGATTCTGGAAAGCAATCGCATCTATACCGTCGGGGATCTTCGGTTTCTCTCACGCGATAGTTGGAAGGTTTAATTAATTTCAAAAATAATAAGATTATAATTATTCTATATCACAAATTTTTATTGGATAATGGTAATAAAAAGTTTTATTTTCTTATCCAGCAAATCGAGTTTTTACCTATTGTGAAAGATTTAATTCGTGAAGCTATTTCTCGAAACCTATTAGATCCAGGTAAAATCTCGATAAAATGGTTTTAATTTTGCTTAATGGACTAAATTATAATATATATTAAATTTATTTTCTTCTGTAAAAGATGAAGCAGCCTATGAGATGAAAAAAGCTGAGAAAAGGGCACGAAAAGAGCTAAAGAAACAAGAAAAAAAGAGCAAGAAGGAACGAAAAGAAAGAGAAAAGTCAATGAAAAACAGCAATAAAAATCTTACCAATTTCAACAAAAACATCAAAGGAATTAACGAAGACGATATGGTAGTTATAAGAAATAAAGAGAAGAATGGCAGTGATTCATATTCATCTTCTTCGTCTGAATCATCTTCTGATTCAGACAGTGAATCAGTAGACTCATTGGGAAAGAAAGCATCATCGTCGTCGTTTAGCATCAATAATGTGCAGCAAACAGTATCAGCCCCACCATATTCTTTTTCATCCACAAAACCCGTCAAACAGATTGTTGGCAATAATAGACTTAGAATTAGAGCGCCAAATGGTCGCACATACGAGGTTGATCGCTATTGTCCACATAAAAATGCGGATTTATTATCCAGAGTAAGTAGCGAAATTATTTATCTCTATTTGTTATTTGATTCAAGTTAAATCAATATTAAATGTATATCAATTTTGACAGGGAGCGATTGTTGGCAATAAATTGATTTGTACCAAGCATGAGTGGGAATATTCGTTGGATCAAGGAGGAAAATGTGCTCGTCATGGTGCCACGATTAATGCTTGCGCTGTAAATGATTGGTAAAAAAGTGCAAAACTGGTTTTTGCTTTTCTATTGATTCTTCCTATATGTAATATATTCCAATAATACTATTTTATGGAATTATCACCCTTCGATCCAAAATCTGAACCTTTAGCTTTAGCTTCTAGTTTCATAGGATTTTCTTATTACATCATTGTTACACTTATCTTTATTAGTTTAGATTGTGATTATCATTTACTTTTATAGTATCCCATTTGGAACTTGGTTTCCCTACATAGTATTCTTATAGTACGAATTGATGCCAAAAATAGAAATTTGATGATTGCCAAGGTTTTTTGAACTTGTATCATCAAAAGATAATTTTTATTGCTCATTAATATAACGAAAACCAGGCTTTTATTTTACATTGTCTTTTCTAAGCTCATAATGTCATAATTAACTACAAATTGTTCTGTATACGCCGCCCACATAAATAATGCCTTTTGACTAATTAATAACTAAGCCAATAACCACATACATAGCCTTCCAAATAAATAAATAAATAAAGGACTGAATTGTTTTATCAATTCATCAATTCATCAATTAATTCTCATCAAGCAACCGATAAATTATTTTTTTATAAAAAGGTGATTTTGATTAGGAGAAATCATTTCTCCGTCCACTCTCACGATTCATAGGTAGTATACTGTTTTTGAAAAGATAAGTTTTATTCTTACTATTGTTTCCCAAACACAAGCTTACAAAATTACACGTCTAATTGAAGATAGACGAGATATTTACTCTGTCGCTTATCAAATTTCCTCCGAGTAATTCTGCGTGATATCAAAAGAGAAAAAAAATGCAAAAACTTCAAATCAATTCGATGTTAACAATGATAAAAATGAGGTCAATCGACCTCTTATTTAATTATCTTTTATGCTCGATGATTATTTCAATGGTATTTTCCACGCCTGTAATGAAACGCGATGTTGGATCTGATGCGATTCAACAAGGACAAGATCATCGTAAGTATTTTGGGTGATTCAATTGGCTGGTTGAATACAGTTACATACTACTTTATGGCAAGGATGTTAATAATTAATACGATGTTTTCTTTTTCTAAAAGTCAGAAAAATCACGGTCCACACTGCAATTTATGGAATAATCTTGATTTCAATTGGCGTGCTTTATACATTTTTCGGGATAAAGTTTTACAGAGTTACCATGTTCTTTGTCGGTTTCTACATCGGAAGTTTGTATTCTCGTTCAAATATAGATGATCGATTTGTAGATATAATTTCCTTGGAATTTGATTAATTTTTTGGCTTTACTTTTAGGTATCCTCGCATGGGTTATTTTAACTAACGTTGAACCTGCCGATGGCTATGGCAAATCATCTGATACCATTTATCTGGTGATTACTCTGATTGCTGGACTCCTTGTAGGATCATTGCTTGTTTGTTGCTCTGACATAGCTATTTGGTTCTTGGGCGCACTCGGTGGTAAGTAATTATCATCTTCATCCTCACGCTAAAATAAAAAATATAGTTAATTCACCGATTCTTTTATCTTAAAGGCTATGCACTCGCTATCTTCCTCCTTTCGTGGGCTAACAATGGAGTAATTCATACAAGAGTTGGGCGAATAGTCTTCATAATAGGATTAACTGTCGCCGGCGTAATCCTAACTTTCCTATTCGAAAACGTCATCCTAATACTCAGCACTGCATTAATCGGCGCATACAGCATCATATTCGGCATCGACATGTTCGCAAATACAGGGTTCAGAGAAGCAGTACACGAATTCTTGGATGGAAATCACACGATTGTGTATAATACCGATACTAAAGTTTACTTGATGCTTGGCGGCGTACTTGGATTCTTTATTGTTGGCACAGCTTTTCAATGGAGGTTTCATCGTGGGGAATTTGGTAAACATCGTGCTGCGAAATCTTCAAAGACTTCTCCGGTATATTCTACTCCTCCTGAAAATAGTGAAAAGAAGAAGAAAAGTGGCTGGTCAATAAGGGTGTGAAGTTTGGGTTATTTGTTTTCTTTTATATTTTACGATCATAACTCTGTTCTCTTCTTTTCCTCTTATCTTCAACAAAAAATCGTTATCTTTATATTGATTTTTTGATTACGAAATAAAAACAGAAATGATTATTCTGCACATTTTATCTTGTATATAACGTGCATGTATATACAAATATTAAATATACTGTATGCATCTCGTATTTTATAATTGACGAGGGTGGTAAAATAGGATATAATTCGGTTTGCTCATATGTCACTATTGATTAATATTTTTTAAAATATATATTGGCAAAAAAACTAATGATCATGGCATGCCGCTAACTTTCTGACCTCTGCTTGAACAGATTTCCAATGACAACGCTTTGTGTCTTAAAACATTGTGGCTATATTTCAAAAGATAACTTTCTTTAATTTAAATGAAAAATTGAATACATTACAAAAATTAAGATTTTTCATGCTAAGGATTAATAAATAAAATTTTTCTTTCAAACCATATTTTTTGATTCGAGTTAATGAAATGTGAATTAAGGAGTTAAAAATTGGTGGAATAGCTTATTGACAAAGAGGAGACACTAGCCCAACCAATGTTTATTTTTGATTGACAGAAAACTATCTACATAAAATACCTATATTTAAACCCAGACTACCAATATACCAATCGACATACGAATGAATGAATGCAAGTGGGCAACTCAAATTTCTCGAATTGTGATATAAATACAAATCTTATAAATACGTACGATGACTATATATATGTCAATTACTAGAGATTAATCAATATTGGAATAAATCTCCGATGCGATACTTCGTCGTATCCTTTTTATACTCAAAAAGAGGATTAATTCGATTCTGTTGATTACAAGCCAAATTGTACGTTTTCCTAATTAATTTCGAAATAACGATTAGATATGATTAGATAAAATTTATAAAAATGATTAAAAGATTTAATACGTACCATTGCAACTTGAACAGATGAATCTTCTCGAGCACCAATTTCCCAGAATCGCGCGGTAGGAATACGATAAGCAATAGATCCAGGAGAATTGTGTTTCTTCTCATCACGATTATCTGCCAATGGCGGTGAGGATGGTAAAGAGATTGTGTAACGTCTATGCAAGTATGGTGAAGATAATGCTCCTTCTGCTGCAGCGTGTGATTCTGAAGCACGACGTTGATGATGATTAAACACAATTGGAGTTATTTGTTCCTTCTCATTAACAATATTATTATTATTATTGTTGTTGTTGTTGTTGTTGTTATTGTTGTTGTTATTGTTAATATTATTATTGGTGATTGAATTGGTAAGAAATGGTGGGAAAATATAAGAAGCGAAACTAGGAGACATTGAAAGTGGTGGACTAGAGCTCATGCTACCAATTGGGCTATTATTATCGTGGATAGAGACCGAGTTTGTGCGAATTCGAAGTTGTGGAATGCTCTGTTGTTCGACAATGGATGAGTTGAGATTGTTGTTATCCTGTTCGAAACTATTGTGAGCAGTCGAGAAACTTAAAAGTGAGATAATCGAAGTTGCCATGCTTGCGAGTAATTTTTTATCAGCAGGCGGTCAAAAAAAGTGAAAGGAACAAGGGAATATATAGAAATAAAAGTGAAAAAAAACTATGTACAGAATTGTGGATTTTTTACAAGTGTGTTTTGGGGGGCTTTTTATAAATGCGACAAATTTAAACGCGTGTCGCACAGTAGGGAAAAATATATATATATTCGTTTATTTATGTGTATATATACAAGTGATGATATAAAAAATGGTCTTGAACGTTATATAGTGGGCGGAGGAACGATTGTGGTTGTCAATTGACAAAACAAAGTCAAAGAATATGATATCGGTCGTAATAAAAAAGGTTTGATCGATGATGTATTTATTAGTTTCGTTTAATTGAAAGTAATAAGAGCAACGGAAAAAACCTTCAAGGAATGGAATATAAGTTGTAAATGAGAATACAAAAAGAATGTATTATTTGTTATTGATGTGCGAGATTATATATACGATTTTCCAGATGTGATATGACGGTATTATTTATTTATTTATTTTGTTCATGAAAGAGAAGTCAGCTGGCCATTTCTATTTTCTATCGAACAAAATGTGCATATAGACGCTACGTGCATATATGGTGAATGCATGCATGATACAGGAGTTTTTTCCCATGAATTATTTGGTGGGAAGTTTATTTTCTGTTGCTGTGTTTCGATTATTAGACATGAATGGCTTAGCTTTGTGTCATCTAAGTAATCTAAATTAAAAGAAAACGTTTCTCGAACATGAACATGTACATGTAACATCATCAATTGACCCATGGAACAAATCTAAACAAAAAATTCGTGCTTCTCTACGCATGTGATGGCATAATCTTATCGTTATCTCCCAAGTTTTCTATCATACGACGATGCAATTAATTGCATATACATTTGCAATGATGTAGGTGTAAAACGTTGAAGATAGGTTTGATGCCGGTACAGCACGCGAAATTCATTCTAACTAACTGCTTTAAACGCATTTTTTACACCTTTGAATACAGTGGTGTAGTTGCTCGAAAATAAATACACAACATATTAAATATACACAGAATGCACGCTAACTCCATTAAAGGAAAGTAAAAAAGTGGAGAAGTATCACAAAAAATTATTATTTATGCTTATCTGTTGTGTCACTATGTTATTCGGGATATCTACAGTGTGATTTTTTGGAATATCTATCATGGAAGATTTTTTGCTTTATTAAAATTAGTTGTTTTTTTTTGTTTCAAGCGAATATGGTATAATTTGCCGACAAACAAAAATTAACCCGATAAAGTGATAAAGTGGTAAAGCTTGGCCTAATCTCATTTTTACGGTTTAGTTTGTTAAAATGATCAAATTTGGAAGATAGAGAAGTTGCATTAGATTATTCGATGGTGGTGCACACTACGTATAATTTATTTTTTCTCGCACTGTTGAAAATTAGCCAATTACCAATTAACGATAACGAAAAAAAAGGTGATTTCTCACGCACAACAATCACGATTATTATTATTATTATTATTAAAAAAAATTACGATTATTATTGTTATCGTTATTACTGCTATGATATCATCACATTTAGACTGAACTTAAAAATATTTGAGCGCGTGGACAAGCAAGAAAAGAACAATGGTTAACCATTATCAAGTCTGCACGTGAGGGAACACTGCAAGATTTTGACTATAATCTTCAATTTCAGTATACAAAAATACTCTTGACATAGTGAATGTATCCGGGCTATTGGAGAAATTTTTCAAATTCGCTGTACAACTCACTCTCGATAAGAAATACTCGATACAAGAAATTCTTTATACAAGATATTTCAAGATCAATCTATTAAAACCTCTTGTTAAAGAAAGATTGTTTTTTAATTTTGCATATACATTTGATCGACGCAACGATATTAAAATCAAGTTTTAGTTGCTGTTACATAAAACCATAATTTATTGTCAATCAACATGATCAAATGAGTCATACATTATATAGGCAACCTTGCATGAAAACTAACTGTAGAGAAAATGAATCAAAATAAACGTGGAAAAACACGGAGTTTTCGCAAGAAAGATTCAGACGATGAAGATATTTCAGTTTCCACTCCAGGTAATTATACAATAACAAATAATCTTAGTAAGAATATTATTGATTCAACTTATAAACCATATTTTTTCTGCATGTATATTTATTTATTTATTTGAAGTGGCCGATGGCCAAGTTCCACAACAAGAATTACCTGCGAATTCTACTAATACAAGTAGTATTCCCCATTTGGGACAAACGACAAAATTGCACAAGAAAAAAGCAAAGGTTAATAAGCCAAAACTAGCACTGAGTTTTGAAGAGGTAATGAAAATTTTCATTTTGCATAGAGTCAAAACTCGATATATGATATATGAATCATTATATCGAGAAATCTTATGAGAAGTTGTCATGAGATTTTTAATTAGTCATTGTTTTAACTGTAATCTATTTTGTTTTGGGGATAAAAACGAATCGATGAATTGCTTAGGAGGAAGAAACTGAAGTTTTCAAACTCACTAAAAGTGTGGCAAGCCGTAAAATGGCACAAAAGAAATCAAAAACTATTTATTTGGATCAGTTGAGTAAATAAATAATTAATAAATCAAAAGTGTTGATCCTTATTCGGTATTAAATCAAATACATCTTTTCAATTAAGAGATTCACTTCCGCAAAATTTGGCTCAAGCAACGATTTCATCTTCATCGATTTCATACACAAAAGAGATCTTGTCAGAATTACGAGCGAGTACACGTGCACCACCGCCCTCTTCTTTTGAACCTCAAGAATTTGATGGCAAGTCAATTTTAATAAAAAACTTAGTCAAATAAATGAAAAGAAAACTAATTGAAAATTTGTTATAGATTTTTCATCAAAAATACCTGACGCAAATGCTATTCACGCAGCAAAGAAAAAAAGAGAGATGCTAAGACAGAGAGGAGCAACAGTAGAAGCAGCCCCTGAGTATATTTCTTTGTCCGAGGAAACTGACGTGCGTGTTACACAGTCATGCTCTTTATAGTGGATTAATATCTAAGTTAACTATAATAAATTCTGCTCGATACACTATAAAGAGAGTCACTGAGTATTTTGATTTTATCCTTCTTAATGATAAAGACAGTTTAACTTATATTTTAGCTCATATTTTTTTTCAGGTAGTCCCGTCGTCAAGTAAAAAAAATCCTGAGTCAAGATTAGTACGTGAAGAGGATGAAATTGGCGACACTGATGAAGGTTTGTCATGATAAAAATATGTGTTATTAAGTTATCTCTTTTCTTTGTTAAAATTATATATTTTGTTAATTTGCTCAGAATTAGAACAATACGTGGATGAGAAAGTTGCGTTAAGTAAAAAGGCAAAAAAAGAAGAACGGTTAAAGAAAAAAGCTGGGATTAAACAAATGATTATAGATGCGTGAGTAAAATCATTAAATATTATTACTAAGGTAACTAATTACTTCTATTTTTTTTAGAGAAGGCGAAGAAGACGAAGAATTATTGCAATGGGAAAATGAAGCCATCAAAAAGGGAGCGAATTTGGCTTCTAGATCTTCGACTAGACCAATCAAGAAACCAAAACCATTAACGACTGCATCAAGTAATATATGTATTCATTTATTGTTATTAGCTTATGATATGTTTGTGATCCCACTTTTACTAATATATTATTATTATTATTATAGTACCGATCAATCTTCCGATACCAAGTTTTTTAGAAGTCGAGTCGAGACTTACACAAGAATTGGATAATTTACGAGACTTGTACAAAAATCATCAAATGGAATTAATGCAGCTCAAGCGAGATTTCCATGATAATGTGGAAACCAGTGAAAATTATGTATCTGAATTGCAGCGAGCAAAAAAGCAATATACTTATTTCCAGGAGCTTAAAACATTTATTGAAGATTTGGTAGAGTTCTTAGATACAAAGGTATAATTGGATATATTTGTTTTTATCAAATTAAAGAAAATGAGCTGAATTGCTTTATTAATTATTATTTTTAGTTTTCTATTCTAGAAGAAAATGAAGAAGCTTTTCTTTCCTGCTTATTTGAAGCGACAGATATAATAATAAAGAGACGGTTGCAAGAGGATTCTGATGATCTAGCATTTCTCTTTGGAAAAAGTAAACTTTAATGATCTCTTATTGAATAGGTTTTTTTAAAATAAAATAATATTGATTGTCTTGCTTTTTGCACAAAAGCCGATGACACGCAAATATATCGGCAACAAGTACGTGAGATTAGAAAACGGACACTCGTAAAAAATATGAGTATAGAGGAAGAAGAGGGTTTATCTACGGATGACGAACTTTTAGAAACCGAAAAAAACGAAATCCTATCCAAAATTGGTATTTTAATTAATCTTTCTATATTTTCTCATTATGAATAAAGAGTCGTATTTGATAAATTGTTATCTCTTTGATATACAGGATTAATCTCTGAACAGCATACAGAACTATTTAATGATGTGAGAGAAGAGTTCAAATCAATTTCTTTAATAAAGTCAAAATTTGAAGAATGGAAATCGGAGTATCGTGAAGAATACCTTAAAGCTTACGGGGGATTAAGCTTGCCTGGCGTTTTTGAATTTTATATAAGATATGAATTACTTTTATGGGATCCATTTAAGGCACAGTATACTTTCCATTAATGTTGAATTTCTCTGGCTGACTGGTTTCGAAACTTCTAAACTAGCTTCGAAATTCTAATTAAATTAGTTTCGAAACCCTAACCTAACCTTGATTTTTTGAGTTTCGGAGGGCAACACTACTTTCCATATACATTTCCAATATATATTTATTAAATTACATTTTTATTTTACGTACTCGCATGTAAACATATATAAAATAAATAGACACCATATAACCAGCTGAACCAAATGAAATGGTATCAAATCCTGTCAGATTATGGTGTTACTGAAATGCAACAAATAGACAACGATGATGATGACATCCGGCTTCTAGGAAAACTTGTGGATAAGATCATTATTCCAAAGCTCTCTCGTATGGCAAACATATTAAATCCATTTTCCAGCAAACAGATGAAGGCATCAGTTGAACTAATTGATCAAGTGGTACTTTCAAGCAGTGGTGGTAAAGACTCGCAAAGATTCAAGGTATAAAAATAATCTAAACGGGCTCGATACATATTCATATTATTAAACTAAATAGTTAATGAAATTTTTATTTAAAGGATTTGATCTCATCATTTACTGATCGGCTCACAAGTATTGTAAATTCAATCGAATATGATACCCTGTCACTGGGTAAAATATCTCTTTTAGAATCTATTGCATTTTACAGAAATCGATATTTTTGGAGAAATTTCAAGGTTTACTTTTTTTTCATATCCATGATTATATTTTTTGCAACCGAATTAAGCATTAGTTATATTCATGTATATTTCTTGAATTATATATATATATATATTGAATAGTTACTTGCAAACCTCCTTTTATGGCGAACACTCTTGCCGCCTGAAAATCTTCGTTCTTTAATAGATCAGCTCCTCGATCGATGTTTACTTCCTCTTCTCTCAACTGGTGGCGTCTCGGATAATGATAAATACAGAAAGGTATAAAAACAGATCTGTTTTTTCCTTTTTTGATTAAATCATTTATTTAGATTTCAATAAATTTATTAGATATTGGAACTTGTTCCTGGCGAATGGATGTCTCAATACCTTTTAGAAAAAATAGCACGTGGTGCTGTAGGCTTTTGAATAATCCTTTTAGGAAATAAAGGTTAGACGCTTTGGCGGAAGAAATAAGAAATAAATTTCATGCGTCTTATGTGTCTTTCACTTCTTGACGACACCATCTTATGCTGAGATTATGAACATGTCATAAGAGAAGGATATGTCTTAGATAATCTATTCGTAATTACTATACTCGGAACGAAATGAAAATGAACATTTAAGCACAATATATTTATTTAATTGCATTACTTTAGATAGATAGATAGATGGATGGATGGATGGATGCTTTGTTTTATATCTTTGAATTGGTCGAAGAGAATTTATTAATTGCAGGTCCTAGAAGGTGGGTTAATAAATTTTATCACCAGTTATACAGTATTTTGTCTTGCTTTTCATTAAATCATACTGTTCTTTATAGGTGTTTATTATACAAATCAAGAATTTTATGGTTTGAATTGAACACGGAATTATTGATTCTTTTGTAACTGATAGCGCTTTTTATTATTAAATACTAAATAATTAACGTATGTTGTAATGACATTTGAAATATAATGATATTAGAGGTGCCAAGATATTCGAGTCTCGTAAGCTTACAAATTGGTAATAGGTAATAATAGGTAATATTACCATTTTACAATAATATCTTATCTTATACTGGTTTTTGATCAAGATTATTGCATATGGTTTAGAGATAGTGTGGTCCATAATATTAATCTTGCAATAAACAAAAAAATTAAAATCACATAACTTCCCATTTGAAAATTATAATTTCGAATATTTCCTCCTCCCTATTAAAAAAAATACTATAAGGAGAATTATCGTAATCAAAAAGAGAGTATGAATAGAATCATGAGATTTCTTTGTTTTTTGCTATTCTCATTTGAGAACCCTAAAAAGGACATAGTACTCGTTACACCAGTGTTTGTTTGAAACAAGTTTAATTCCAAAAAAATTAGATAATATCCGCAGACTTCCATATCACATTCATATTCTTTTTATTCGAAACGTTGATTTCCCCTCAGTAAAGGTGTTTGTGCTTAAATAACGTGTATGTGCGCGACGGAAAATTTATCCATTTGTGGAATGAATTTCCTAATTTCCTAATAAAGTTGAATGTCATTAAAATATGAGCAATCTTGTGAAAATCGAAAGAACAATGATTGCATGTCTCACAACCTGCATTTACCATATTAATTTATCTATATAAAGATTCGATTACTTGAATCCATTGTATCTGATTTAAAATTTTAATTCCATTTTCCGATTTCATGTGAATTGTTTTAATTGTAAAACTTTGACTAATTTTTATATTAAAAAAAAAAGCTCTCAAGAAACAGACGAATTCCCAAAAATAAAAAAAGTATTTTTTGTTGAGTATTTCTGGGCGGCCATTTTTGGGCTCGAAGTAACTTCTCCAACAGTTATGCGACTATATCATAATATTTCTTTTTTCGCAGTTTTATACCTTTTTTGGATTTGATCTTTAATCGAATTGCACACGCGATAATGACATCCTGTTTCACATTAAAAAGATTTTCTGTCGAGAGTTTCACGTTTAAATATTGCCATTGTTTTATTGTTACGAGTCCGGTACTTTCATGAAGAGCACAATTAACTCCACAGTAATAATAATAACGACGTTATTTTTCGTAGTGCTATAATTGGATTTCATGTTTTACTCTACAGACAATATGTCTATAACGAATGGATTAAACTTACTTCCTGTGGCTAAACTTTTCAAGTGACAGAGTCAAGTGACTTGAAATTATTCTCGCCGTTAAACATCGGTATAACGATATGATCGAGATAATTAGTAGAAATATCGTTCTATCAAGATTTCGTTACTTAATTAAGGATCATAGTGATTATTATTACGTTAAACTGCTCAAAATGAATCTTTTTTGAAATAGATTTTCTAATCCGGAAAACACAAAGTTCGGTGTGGACGAACGCGTGTCTATCTCCGTATTTATGTACTATAAATAAACAAGAAATTCGGCGCGAGTGCCACTGAATTTATGAAAAGATTTTTTCTACATGGAAAAGAAGAAATTCAAATCCTGACTGACATGGGAAATCCATTTTGAGAGTATGAATGAAAAAAAGAGAAAGAATACAATATAGCATATCATTTACTATTATACTAATCATACTTAACACATGACGAGTGTATACCTCTCATAGATCGAGTATCCCGAGTAAGGAAGCATGAATTCCTCTAAAGCGTGTTTTACAATACTTTCTACATGATATGCAGGCATCCATCTATTTATGCATTGAACGTCATTCACTCTAATTTTTTTAAGTTTCCCGACTTAAAAAATATACATGTATATTTATATAGACAGAATAATATTTTTTATTAGGACCATGCATGCAGGCATTCTAAAAAAAAAAAGCCTGTGCTAATTTCTAAATAAACTCTTTTAAATAGATTTTTTTATTTTATATGTTATACTACACAAAATTCTTTTTACTTTTATGGAAAGTCTCGATATTTCGGATACGATGATAATGTTGATAATTATTATTATATGCCAAATACCTTGAATAATGGTGAAAATATATATATCCAACCGTTACCCATTTTCCTTCGATGCCACTTTACTGACAAAGCTTGGTCAATAATTAACGTTATATACATTTTCTTTCTACAATAATTATTTACTATTGACCATTACTAGTAATTAATATATTATTGTTATCAAAATCTTGGGCGTGTATGTATATAACAACAATTATTACTCTTTATATCATAAGTTCCTGTGTAAGAAAGAAAACCAAGCAGTCAAAAAAAAAAACGCATATAATTCCATACATATATATACACATACACACAGATACACACAGATACACACATTCATTCATTCATTCATTTATCTACCCACTTACTATTCTCTTAATTTCTCACTACTCACTTGCTGCCTACGTATACATAAAAAAATAAATAAATAAATATAAACACGTCTGTATGAAATGTGTTGTCATTTATACAAAGTTACCGATTTGCACCTATCTCTTTGGGATGAAGGTCTTTCATCACTTTCTCCAAGAGTTATTACGAATCCCATCACCGCTTTTGAAACCTTGAACCATTCAAAAACCACCTCTACCACTTCTGTAGTTAAAGTGCCAGCAAATATGGCTGCTGCTGCCGCTAATATTCCGGATTTTGTGAAAAAATTATACAGGTAAGAATCAATTAATTAATTAATCGATTTGACGTGTCACTATTAACTTTAAAAAGAAACACAAAATAATTTCTCTAGTCACATTTCTGTAAAAATTGATAAAAAATGTAAATTTCCATAGATGCTCAACAACTGAATAATATTTTCCCTTATCACCTTTTTGCTTATTGTCATACAGAATGCTCGAAGACAAATCTTACGCAAATATCGTCTCTTGGGGAATATCCGGGGACACATTTGTGGTTCATGATCCGACAGAATTTGCAAAATTAATTCTTCCGAGGCATTTTAAACACAATAATTTCGCAAGCTTTGTAAGACAACTCAACAAATATGATTTTCATAAAATAAAAACAAATGATGACGGCTCAAGACCTTATGGTGAACAGGTAAACAAAATAAACGAAAATTAAACGTCAAATTATTAAAATACAATGTCGAAACCAGTTTTTTGTTTCCCCGTGTAAGAAAAATGATCTACAAGTCTCGACTTTTTTAATAGGCGTGGGAATTTCAGCATCCAAAATTTCAGTGTAATCGACGTGATCTGCTTGAAGAAATCAAGGTTTTTTTTTTCCTTTCCATTAATTTCTCGTTCAATATCATGAAAATTAAAAAATACTTTGTCAAAATAATAGCGAAAAACGCCAATTATTCGCCAAAAGCCTTCTACAGCGGTCTCTGGTGCTAGCAGTTCAACCGCCCAAGTACGTGGTGGAAAGCGACAAGGTTTACATTCAAAAGTCGACTCACTCGTAGAGCTTCAGAGCGAGATGTCAAGTTACTTGGAGACTTTAAACAAGAACTATCATACAGTCATGGACGAAATTCGCAATTTTCGAAGCAATCTTGCTGCGCAAGATGATTTAATGCAGAACTTAGTTCATTTTTTAGCACAGCACAGTCAAGGCAATGTATCATCATCAAACACGAACTTTTCAACATTAATTCATCCAAATAATAAATATTTTCGATCTAACCGCTAAAATAATTTGATTAATGGGTGTCTGTTTACTTAATGTTTGTAATTAATAATTAATAATTAAATATTTCGGATTTATGCAGAACGAAACCCGGAATTTGAAGAAACCATCAGGAATTTCACTGATTTATCATCATCAACAACTGTAACCGCATTTAATACCAACGCTTCATTTATCCCTCACTTTGATCAACAACCACAACAACCACATCATCATCATAATCATCATCATCATCATCATCATCATGATGGACAATCTTCTTCAGCAAATACTAATAATAATTCACAAGATAATTTTTCAGTACCTTTCACCTTATCAGAAAACCCTGAAAATTTTTCACGTGCCACACCATTTTATCCATCAAGACACACCCATACATCTTCAAATATACCTGCTGCATCTGCTCCTGAAACTGTATCTACAATAACAGCCACCACATCCACAACCATGTTACCCTCTTCAAATTCCACACTAGGTCCTTCTAACCTAATCACTTCCTCCTCATCCTCCCAATCGTTAAATCTCAGAGACAATAGTGAATCACAACGAATTATGTCTTCATCTACTTCAGAGGTTAATCGATCAAACTTTACCAATGTTCCAGGGAATTATCTTCCACAATCTCTAGTTAATAATCAAGATTCTGTCCCCCCTCATCACCATCATCAGTTCTCATCTACATCATCACTAGACTTCAATAATCCTTCTTCCGTGAATGATACAGATAACAACCTAACATTATTCACTATAAATCAACTTTCCTTATCCCCGTCCACTCCAGCTCGCCAATTCTCTTCCGCTACATCTACTCATCAACATCATCCTTCAAATTCGATTATAACAGCTACCTCTGAAAATACAACCTCCACATCTATTCCATATGGAAGAACTATCACAATAACGTCATCATCTTCTCAACTACAATCTGAAGACAACAATACTAACAATAATCAAATTTATATGAATCAAGGATTGTCATCATCCTCGGTAAACTTTGATCGAAATCATTCTTGGCCGACACCACCGAAACTTTTGGTGGTCGAAGACGAAAATACAAATAGAGATTTTATGACGAATTTATTACATCTCATTGGATGTCACTATGACATTGTTATAGATGGGGTTACGGCTATAAACAAAATAAATGAAACAAAATACGATCTAATTTTTATGGTAAGAAATTAATTAAATTTTTTTTCATTGATGCATATTATATTAATTAAGTGATAATTTTAATTTTATATTTTTGATACCCATTAAAAAGGATTTAATGATGCCGAATTTAGACGTATTGAATGTATTACAGCAAATTCGAAGTATCGATAATAAAACACCTATTGTAAGCATGACTGAAAATCCACCCGAGAACGATTTTTTAGTAACCGAACAATATGGAATAAATGATATCCTCGGAAAACCTTATTCCAGAGAAGGGATATATGCTATTCTAGATAAATATTGTGGTCATCTGAAAGGATCTCCTCTTGAAGGGGATCAAAATATGAATAGTCACATTGATGATTAGATGATTGTGCATCCGCATCTCGATTTAAGCAATAATCATAGTAACACGGGAGAATTTAGCGAGAGGATTGTCGGGAAAATTGAAAATAGTAATAATGGAAATTATACTGGCGACAGCAATTTACATATTGAAAAAAATGATGATAATGACGACGACAATGATCCAAAAAACCCATCGGAATCTATAGACCATGAAACTTTTTGCTGAGAATGACTAGCGGCACATCAGTGTCAAGTTGATCAAGATCATGGTTCGCTCGCCATCGATAGAATACACGATTCACAAGATGATGCAGAAGGAAAGGGATGATGTAATTTTTTTAGTTCGATTGACTCTTATTTTTTTTCTTTGTTTTTTTTTATTAATTTTATAAGCTAATCTTGTATATAGAGAAACAATTTATTTCATCATCTTTTCATTTAGAGTTTTTTTGCATTCTATCTTAAAAATTTAATTATAACTTTTACCGCCAACCTGTTAATTCAAGAATCATTCAATGATTGATTTTTTAGCAATGCTATTGAATTTGCCGATGTTAATAATAAATAGGATTGCTAAACATTTAATAAGAATATATACTCTCAAGAGTATTCGAAGATTCATGAAAATTATCAAACAGAATTAAATAGTTACATTGTTTTGTTTTGTTTTGTTTTGTGTATTGCTATTATTATTATCCAGGCAATAATAATTTTAATATTCAATATTAAAATATAATATGATTGAAAGAGAAAAACAAATATTTGTAATAATAGGAATCAAAGATGATTAGTATTTGATTCGTTTCTTTTTTTTTTTTGAAATTATCATCTCAACCTTTAAATGTGTCGATAAGAATACTCCACACAACTACAACTACAAATACTATTATCACTCTATTAATTATCGGAGAATAATGAAAAGTCATTTATTTAAAAAGTCAATTACCATTCACTGCCATTAATTTATTGACGATATTACAAACCCAAGTCCAGCAAGCCGGCTATACGTCTTCATTCTGTCCTCAAAATCAAGTGAACTCCACTATCACTCCACACTGGATCACTCAATTCGCCGACTTCAAGCTTAAAAGCAGCTTCCTCAAAGCTTGGCTGCATTTGTCCTTTTCCAAAGTGCCCGAGATCTCCTCCACGTTTACCACTAGAACAATCAGATTCGTTCTTGGCTAACTCGGCTAAGGTGGTCTCATCAGATTTAATTCGTAATCGATAACTTTCAATCAGCTCCAGCGCTTCTTCTTTTGTGCGTGTGATAGTAGCCTTGAAAATGCAGCAAAAGGAAATCATGAGAAAAACACGTGTATAATAATGCTTGTGGAACATATTATTCTCGAATTCATATATATATATGTATTTAATCCAACTCATAATTCATACTTGTTTCCAAGAACTAGGTCGTCTGCTTTCTTTATGCTTAACCAGCAGGTGACTAGCACGTATTTGTTGCTGTTGCACATTACCGCCAACCTGCTCAAGGTTTTCGTAATTTTTAATCTTTTTTGGATCAACTCCTTCGGGAATTTCCCAGGTACTTGCTTTGGTCAATCGATTGTAATAATATGGCAGTTTACGTGACCTAGAGATACGTTGTTCCCACTCAGAAGCGGTATCATCGTCCGTTGCCGCATTTGCTTCTTCAGTAGTGGTATTAGAAGTTGTGGTTGTGATTATGTCTTTGGTTGTGGTTGTGCTATCCTCAGTTTTATTTTCGGTACTTGTGGGTATATTTTCTTCAGATGTAGTAATATCGATTTCTGCTTCAGGATTAGTAGTAGCCTATGAAACCACAAAAAAGTCCAAGAGTCACAGTAATTTTAGATCTCAAGTCACTTCGGAATTTGATAGTTAGCAGATATAAAAACGAACCGGTAGAAATGAAGACACTACTTACCATTTTGACGCGCAGTTATAGTAGTATCTAAGGCGAAGCACAACCTATTATATCTATAAATTTGTGTATTGGTCAAAAAAAATTGTAAGACGCCACAATATAATTGGTTGAAGCACTATAAATTAAATTCACATGATAAATGATTTGCATGATGGGAATTTAAAAATTTCAGCCCAATCAGAATAGAAATCCTGCTAGAGTTAAAGTTAGTATTGGAAAATAGATCTATTATCTATTATTAACTATAAAAAAAATTTTTATAATTATAGTGCCATGGTCCCATTTACTAAGAGTACAAGCTTAGGATAACGAGTTTTAAAATTCTTAAGATTATATTTTCAGTTTTCACTATTATTAAATTTGGAATTTTGTATTATTTTATATAATTATTTAATTTGAAATATAATTTTTTTGTCATTTCAAAATCTGCAATTGTTATATAGTTAAATATATTTTTTAATATTTAATATGAAATAAAATTTTGTCAGTATGTAAATATATCTATTAAATATCTTTAGCTAAAAATATTATTTTAAATAAATATTTAATTTAAAAATTGATATTGTTTTTGTTATGAATTTATATTTGAGTATTATATAAATTAATTAATATTATTATTTCAAAATTAATTGTAAACTTAATGAATTTTTACTGAATCACAAATTAATAAATATTATTAATATTTGTATTATATTTTTATTTTAATTTTTAAGCTTTAAACAAATTAAATTAATATATTATATTAACAAAATATAATAAAAATACAAAAAATGCAGATTTTTTTCTTTATATAAAAGTTTTTAATTTTATTAATAAATATTTTTAATTTTATATTAAAATAAAAATAATATTATATATTTTAATAT